AGGCCAGCGCCTGCAGCGAGCGCGCCGCCGCGCCCCACAGCGCCCTCGCCAGCTCCAGCGCCAGGCTCCTGTCGCGCTGCACACACACAAAGACGTTACATCCAGCTCCCACGAACGTTACATGCTACTAGATGTTAACATAATATTTTAAAAAATCAGTACTCCGCTGGAGATCGGCGCAACACTGGATCATTGACATATACGTCCGTCCCTGACAGCTGTCGATGTCTTAGACGTATTAGTATTACGCACCATTCTTGTTAAAATTATGTTAATTGCTAAAAACAATTAGCTGTTACCGTTTATAAATACTTTATTCTATTTATATTTGATAAAACTTTCATTTCAAATGGTTTAAATGATAACAAAGGCCTTTGTGATTGTAACAATTACCGTTACCATGGCAAACTTGTTACTTTCCTGCTATTGACTTGCAGTATTTTCCCTTTCTATGACAATTTTTCTAACTTATTCGATCTCTAAATTAAATAGCCTATAGCGTGTCATAAGTGTAGGACTTTGTTATAATAAATTAAACAAAAACGCAACAAAATCATTGCAATACTCACTTTAGGGTTGGCAGGATCTTGCAGCAAGTTAGGGATGTCCTTCATAGAGAAGAACACCGATATCGACATCTCCACTGAATCCTTCAGGGCTTCAAACTTTTTCTATAAACAAACGCAAACAAGATAAAATTACTTTTAAATAGAAAATCAATGTTGATGAATGAACCAGTGTTTCAATTTAATGCACATATCTTTATCAATTATGTTCAATCGAATCATTTATACAAAAGTTAGTGTTTGTGATGTGGCGCGCCATGGCGTGGTGCGTTGTGGTTTGGTGGTGTGTGCAGCGTGTTGTGTTATGTTGTGTTGTGACGTTATGTTGTGGTGTGGTGTAGTGTAGTATGGTGTGATGTATTATGTTGTGGTGCAGTGTTGTGCTGTGTTACGGTGAGACCTCGCAGAGCGCGGCGCCGCAGTGTTGGTGCAGGTGGTTGGCGGCGCTGAGCACGGCCTCGCGGATGTCGGGGTGCACGGGAAGCAGCGCCAGCGAGGAGGACGCCTCCGTCATGTAGTGCACCTGCAACACACAACAACACTATACACCAAGAATCAAAATCACTCTTCAATTCCTCTATTACTAACTAGCTGTACCCGTGTGGCTTCATCGGTCTTTTATTGCTAACATTTGTACATATTTTATAAGATAATATTAAAATTCAAAAGCTTAAATGAGAATGAAAAGTTTTATTCAAGTCAATTACCTTGGCTTATAGTTTTTGTTACTTTTTAGCAAGACTTTTTTCACATTACTCACGCTTTATATTTATTTAATAGCGCGAAAATATATAGCCTGTAGCCTGTCGTAAGTGTAGGGGGATTTTATCAAAAAGAAAGCTGTAAAACCTAACATCCTGTATAACAAAGAAGTGCAACAGTTTACTAGATCAGTATAAGTAGCAGTGTGCGGTACCCTGAGGCGGGAGAGGTCGACGGGGCGGTCGAGGCGCAGCTGCGCGCGGCGCTCGCCCGCCATCACCTTCATCATGAGCGGCAGGTCCTCGGCGTGGCGGCACATGGGCCCCACGGCCAGGAAGCGCGGGTACTGCTCGTCCGCCAGCGTCGGGATGTGCCCCTCGATGGGGATGATGCCTGCACACACGCGGCTGTGTGCTGAGCTATGCCAAGTGTACTGTACTTTGTGTCATTGTTCTATTGTACATAGTGTTGTACTTTGTATTGTGTTGTGTTGTTGTGTGCTGTGCTGTCTTCATGTGTTCTGTACTTTGTGTGTTGTACCATTGTGTTTTATGTAATGTATTTGTTTTCTGCATTTATTATACTATTATACATAGTGTTGTACTATGTGTATTTTATGACATACTATTGTACATTCTGTGTTGTACTATTGTACTGTGTGTTGTGGTGTGGTGAGACTGACCCGGGGTGGGCTTGTGTCCGAACAGTCCGCAGAAGGCGGCGGGGATGCGGATGGAGCCCGCGATGTCTGAGGACACGCTGATGGGGGACGCCGCGCTCGCCAGCAGTGCAGCCTGTACAATATTATATTATTTTACTCCGACTTACAACTCAATGTGCATACTAATAAAGAATAGAGCACCAAAGAAGTGTTTATTTATAGGTCTAATTATATTAATTCAAAAAAATATTTATATTGAATTTGCAAAAGTTTTGATGGAAGGATGGATTGTTACGACGTATGTCTTTAAGTTAACGGATTTCAAAGAAATTCGATACCAATATAGTACATAATCTGGAAAAACATGGAATACTAAATAGAAAAGTAAATCGTTTAGAAACATTTTGCAAACCGATACATTACAATAATTATGCAAAGTATAAATAGTTGAGTGCACGATAACATACTTGTAGGGTTGCGAAACGCAAATACCGGGAGTGCATTAAAACCTTTCCTTTGTTTACGGTTTGTACTAACAAAGAAAACTTCAATATTTAGTATTTCCGTTTTCAAATTCATAGCTATTATATAATTTTCATTCTTGTAACTGAATGGTTGACATCAGATCATGTGGTTATTGTACTATTTAAAGGTAAATTCGTAGACATTACCAACGTACGTATATGTACAGACAGCTATTAAATAAAGCATTGTTTGTACACTCAGCACGCCATGTCTGTACACATTACACACTTAGCCTGTACTCTATACAAACTGTGTATTTACCACCATACTTATTACACGTACTTGTTACTATTAAGCTTATTACACATTAAAGTCGTACATTATATACTAGTTTAACGCGACTTCGTCTGCGTGGAATTATAAAACTAAAAAAATATAGTCTATGTTTAAAAACGGCACAATAGATTTTACGTGAATACATATAAAAATAGAAATCTCTCTTCTTTATAATATTAGTAAAGATACTGATTTTTTTATTACTGTTTCAGTATTAAATATTTTTTGCGGCAATGATATTTCGAGTACAAGTTACATTAAATTTCTTATAGTTTCTTTTCCATTAGTGTATAGGAAGCTTAATTTTGAATTGTATTGTCTGAACAAATAATTCATTTAACGACAACTTCATAAACTTCGTAGAGCGATGTATATCATGTTTGTATGTACATTTGTTACAACGTTTGCAATAAGCTGAAGGACAATTACCTGGGGTATTTGTATGAAGATGTGTTTGTTTAACTCACTAACATCATTTTAGTTTCATGGTGATTTTACCGCGAATATATTGATTATTTACTTAAGCAATGTTAATTGGTTTAGCAATGGTTATTTTAAACCGGACGTCTTCGTATTTTTCTGTCATGTATTTATTTATTAATAGATATATTAAAAAAAATATAGCCTATGTTACTCAGAGATTAATTACCTGTCTAATGGTGAAAGAATTTTGGAAGTCAGCCCAATAGTTTTTACGTGAATCGAATACATACAAAAATATTTATAATATGAAAAAATATTTATAGTATAGAATTGAATTTTTGAGTTAATTATTTATTTATGCAATTATTTGATAACGTCTTAGGCACATGTTTATTTCATTATATTAAATGTCATGACAATTTATATTTAAATTGATTTTCCTTATAGCGTGATTCCGGGTTTATTTTTATCAGAAAATATTAAGATTTAGGAAATTACTAGCTTTCGTCCGCGACTCCGTCCGCGTGGAATTGAAAAAACAAAAGTGAATAGCTAATGTGTTCTTCCAGACTATTATCTACATCTACGCCGAATTTCATCGAGATTCGTTCAGCCGTTTAGGCTACAAATTATAACAAACATCCATCCATCTAAACTTTCACATTTATAATATTAGTAAGAAGTAAGATGATCACAATTGAAGACTGCTGTGACTATTCTATCAAATATAGGGACAGTTACATTTGTGTTGTGACTTGAATTGTGCGTGACTTGTTACACAATAACGCAGAGCTGTATTGTTATGTGCAATCTTTGGCGTTCTGCCAAAACATGTCTTGATCTGTACAACCAAGGCAAAAGTCCTGTGTCATTTGTTCACTGTGACGTTCATATAAAATAAACGATTACTATATGAAAGTAAATAGCGGAATAATATTGACATTAATGCAAATAAGTAATGATGGAACAGATGCGGACATAAGATCATAGATTGAGTATCCTTCTGCCACAAGCACCGTTGTTACGGTGGCAGTGGTGGCATTGATTATGAACTGTTCCCTGCCATTGCTACTGCCATAGCGGCATGATGCCACTCATAATACATTTGTTTATGATCGCTATGTAGCATGTTTCGTTTTAACCGAATGGAACAATTCAAATTGGATTAATTTTAAAACCGTGGATGAGTTTCATGAATAAGCTGTTTATTGAGGATTGAAGTTAGTTGTCGTATGGTAGTTGAGTGTGAGAAGGTGTGAAGGTGTGAAGCACCGACCTCTCCGCCGGAGGAGCCGCCGGGCGTGCGCGAGAGGTCGTAGGGGTTGTTGGTGCGGCCGTTGAGCAGGCTGGTGGTCTCCCAGCCCAGGCACAGCTCGGGCGTGGCCGACACCAGCAGCGGCACGGCGCCCGCCGCGCGCACCAGCCGCACCGCCGCGCCGTCGCTGGCCGCGCGGCTGCCGCCCCGCTCCACGCACCCCACCGCGTTCGACATGCCTGCGCGCCGTCCCTTGTCGTCCTCATACATCTCTATCAGCCGTCATATCTGAATTCACTCCCATAAGCCTATCCTCCTTCACACAATCCACCTTAACTTTCGGTATTCCTCTACATTTGCAGCCGTCCACATTCAATATTAACACTTTCTTCTTTACGTCCTCATCATCTCGTCGCATAACATGTCCATACCACACTTACCTTTTGCTCGACAAAGCGATAGTAATTAGCGCCAGCTACTCAGTATCGCTTTGTCATAAAAATTAGGGCAGTCTAAAATAATATGTAACTATACCCTGGTTAATTATTTCATGCAAAAAGGTTACACATTCCATATAATTCGTATTAAAACACTTAACGGCTCATCTACCTACACAAAAATTTCCATCCAAAGCATTCTTATTGATTTGATCTTAGATATAAATCAATGATTGACATTAAAATAATACTTTCAACATTCAAGACATCAGACATAATAATGATAATAAGGTAAGTGTGGCTGACCGGCGAGCGAGCAGCTCTCCTTGACGGTAAATGGCAGGCCATAGAGCGGCTTGTCCTTCAGCACCTGCGCCTCCGCGCCGCCCCAGCGCGCCTCGAACAGCCGCTGGTCCAGCGTGTGCGCCTCCTGCATCGCCTCGCTGAACCGCTCCTCCACCACCGCGTTCAGGTACGGGTTCACTTCCCTGATGCGTTCGATGAACGCGCCCACTACCTCTTCACTCGACAGCTATGGGAGTATCAGTTGATAATAATTTATTACAAACCGGCAGAGGTTGGACAGTCAATACCAAAACTGCTATATTGTACTCAGAAGAATTTCTTCTGTAAATGTCTTTGTAAAGAAAAACGAGAAGATGGGAAGGTAAAGCCAGAAGTTGAGTTACCTCTGCTCTCCTGATGGCGCGCGCGAGGTCGGTGGCGCTGCGCAGTAGTATGGGGTTGCGGGGCGGCGGCAGGCGGGGCGGCGCGCGGGAGAAGAACGCGCGCACGTACAACACCGCCGACAGCAGCGCGTTCACCACTCGCAGCACCACGCCGATCACCCACACGCCTACCTCCATGCTGAGAAACAATAATTATTCACATATAACACACTATATCTAAACAAACTGGGACCCGGGAAGTCAGACATTGTTACCACAAAAATAAACATCAGTAGCCACCTGAAATGGCGAATCGAATAGCTGCCTATAGACAACCGTAAAATCAGAAAACTTGGCTACCCTTATCACTCTTCCACTTCCAATCTGGTCATTATTTATCAACCATTGGGAGAATGCAGCATAGCGATTTTGTCGTTATATACAGGAACTTAGAAGACGTCGATGTCTTCGATCTTTTACAAGCAAATTTTGCAATTCTCTACATTATGCGTCGGCGCATCTGTCTGCACACGCGTATTGTGCAAGTCTTGGTGCAGGGTGGCCGCTACACATGTAATGAGCGTGTTGTGCCGACGTGCCGCAGATATATAATGAGGAACCAGTACCACAAACGTGGTTGAGATCTATTGATACTTTAAGTACATTTACATATTTGTTGACCTCATTATCATTTCCTTCAGTTTCAAGAACTGTTTATGACTCAAGAAAATATTTCATGGAAAGTAAGAAACGTATCGTGTATAAAATGTATCGTCTGCCGACCCCGCTTTTATCGACAGTTTGTCGTAAGCAACAAGTGTACTAGTTGCTCTAGTTTGCAGAACTCTCGCAAACGTGATCGAGATCTAATCGATTCTATTTGCACATTATTTCTATAGTGTACTGATTCTACATTTTAATAGTCAAATTAATTGTACAAAAGAGTCGTAAATTTTTGTTTATAAACTGAGTATTCCAGTCCAGTAATTTTGTTCGTAAACTAACTTCAGAAACGCGCTTGTCGCAACAAAGTCTGTTCCATAGTTTTAATACTCGTTGCATCATTGTTTTTAAACTAGTTTAAATTTACCTGAACTCTAAAGTTAGTTAAGTTATAACGAGTTACTCGGGTTTAATAATAATTTTAAATCTCGATTACGTTGATAGTTGATTGTTGATAATGTGTGGCTTGTGTAATAAATTTAACTTAAAAAGTATTTTAGACAACACTTGCGATGCACTAACAGGCCGACTCGTCCGGTGCAATACCTCGACTACACAGAAGACGCTTGAAGTGGGAACAATTCCGCGTTTCGTCTGATGAGTGTGGTGCCGAAGGCCTGTATTTAGTCCCTTTTCCATTCTACCCTTTTCTTAAAAGGAAATATCCTGTTTATGTGCGTCTCCTCTTCTGTCAATTTAGGGGAGGCAACGCATCTGCAATTGCAGATGTCTATGGGCAGCGGTCGCTTCACTAATTCGGTGGCCGCTTGCTCGTTTGCCACCTTATGATTTAAAAAAACATAGCTACAACTTGAATATGTAATTTCTAAGTGGGAATTTCTTATGGGTATTAGTAACCTTCGTCTTTTCGCGCTATCGTGTTAATACAAAGTGTCAATGGCTTCGCAAATAACACAATGAGCATATCAAGACTTCCGTGTTAACACATTATATGCGCTTAAAATCTATTATTCATATCAGAGGCGAACTAAGTCAAAATCTTATGAAGTATAGTTTAAGATTAAACATCTTAATTTAATAAAATTTGAAAATTATAAGATAGCAAAATAACAATAACCGTCTACCTTATTGCGGCAAGGTATAAAAGTGACCACCTATAGACTGCAACGAGTAGAATGGTTTCGGATGCGTCTTCGTTGGACGGGACGGTACAAAAAGATAATATTTATTTTATGTCCCTACATCCACCAACATCAGTTTCTCTTCTCATTCCTATCATATGACGCTGTACAGGTATTACGGTAGACAAAAGTTCCGGTAAAATACGCTAGCATCGAGGTAACGTGAACCTGGAGGTAACATATGGGTGGGGTATTCAATTTACGTGATTTCTGAGAGTGAATTTAGTCTAATCTTAATATTAAGTTAATGACTGTTAACTCCCTTAGTAACTGACCAATAACTTATGTTAATCTTGTGGTTGTAAGGCTTGTGTACATAACACTTATAGCTTACACGCAAAATGTACGATGTAATGTGTTTGCTTATGTACTAAAGTAATACCTAATGTAACGTATATCGCACATTGAATGTACACTTATTGGATTAACTAATTGTTATACACTTGCGAAATATCGGGGAGACCGGAGATGATAGACAGGTAAGAACAAAACCGTGACATAAATTTTATGTTATAACCAAAGAGACAAATTTTAGAAAACTAACAAATTGTTACAATTTAGGATTAACTGTAAAGAACATTCGCTGTTTTTGTTTCGCAGAAATAAAATTAGTTATTTAAAGTGGTTCTTAAGATAATTTTATTTTAATGTAAATTTTAATTTTTTATATTTGTCGTAAAGAATTTTACGGAAAAGCAGTGTTTTTTCGTGTTTAAAGGACCTTAATTAAATTGCGTGGCGTACTGTGTTTTATTACATTTTTATTCACTATGAAAAATCATTTCATTTATTAAAAAAAAAACAAACCCTTCATCCTTTATTGTTTTGAAAGATAATAAAAAACAAACAACATTTTTTCCTGACCAAAAAAATAAACTAAGATAAACTTACATACAATATTGATGTATTTAAATTTTCACGAAATCACAATATAAAAAACGTCAACAAACTCAAATGGAAGCTCAGCCAAGTATATAACATGCTCCTCTTACGGCCGCACGACGTGAACTAAATTTTCAGACTAAGCTGAGGTACAGACAAGCAATTACTAAATGGAAACCCATCAACAAACATGAATGAAATTTTTCCTCAAGTCCTTACATGCATGTAAGTCAACATGAAAGGACGAAGGTTAATTTTGTAAAATATATTTTTATGGAATTACAAAGAAAACTTTAATTATTGACAAAGAAAATAGCAATACTTTCCTTTGTAAGGATTTGTCATTGACTAATTCATTTTAATTACCTTTAATTTAAATCACGCGATCTTTAAAAAAAAAACAGTTAATTATTAGTACGAAAAGCGATCTTATACAGAAAGTGACTCTACAAATATTTATAGAAACGTAGGTACAGTTATTTTGAAATAACAAATCGGAATAAACATTCTATACAATCAGGGAGTCGCACACCCTCGGGAAGATGGGGGTGGGAAATTAATTTAGTAGTGGCCCCGGAGCGAGGTCACATCGGAGGCTGGCTTTTAACGCAATATCACGATATTCAATGCAATTGAATATTGAAGTAGGTTATAAAGAACATATATTTCATTGTAATTTAAAATTGAGATAATTGTTCAAATACCATATACAAATAGTTAAAGACTTTACAATGTGATAATTCAAGAAAATCAGAAATGTTTATTTATTGAAAAGTATCTGTTACTCGAGATTTTGTCCGCGTGAAATTAAAAATAATAAAAATACATAGGCTATGTTACTCTGATAACATAGCTTTTTAATGATGAAAGAATGGCAATCGCCAGAGTAGTTTTTGATTTATTTCAATACATACAAAATCCAAAGTACAGATAAGTATTCATTTTGAAGTCAAGTCCGCAGGTTCTCTGTACGATTATTCGTAGTCGAACCATTCCTTTACAGAAGAAATCTTCAAATAAAAGATACACGTTTCACTAAGTAATATTGCACTACAGCTGGTATATGTGAAGCTAATACAATTATCGATAAAAGCGGTGCGGGCGCGGCTGACGGCATGTGATGGAAATGCAATTTGCTAGAGGACCGCTACGTCACACGAACGTTTTGCGACAAGTCGGGTGCACACTGAGAACTCTTCAACAATTTGCCGGAAACGTTAATAACTCTGTGGTAAAATGAAATTGTTTTGACGAATGATAGAAATACAAAGCTGCGTACTTTGTATATATTCTTTACATAAATCGACAAAAAGTAAAAAAAAAACCAATGAGATTTTAACTTGCCGTGCCATACTAATATTATAAAAGAGAAAGATTTGTATTTTTTGGATTTTTGTATGTAATGTTTACTGAGTAACAGGAACTTCTTTTAATCCGAACGAAAGCGTATGCAAATGCTATGCAAAATCAAAAACAACGCGCGGCTGAGAGTTGTGTGCACTAGCCTTAAGTTTCCACCGGGCAAACATTATTATGGCTTCCATTTGCACTTGTGTATTCGAAGCCTGCAAATTGAAGAACCTTACTGGTGTTCAAATTTAAAATTCACGATGTATTATACCTTTGCAAAATTTCCAGAATAATATGTTATTTTATTTAAATAATACATTACGAACTTGTAATAGATTTCTATACTAATATTATAAAAAGGAAATATTTGTATTTTTGTATGTATTGAAATAACTCAAAAACTACTGGGTCAATTTCAAAAAATCTTCCAACATTAAAAAGCTATGTTATCATTGAGTAACATAGGCTATATCTTTTACAATATTTTTAGTTTCATGTGGATTAAGTCGCGAGCAACAGCTAGTTGTTACATGTTATGTTGTTGTTAGTTGTTGGTTAGGTGGAGTTGTGGTCAAGCGCTGGTTTATTTATGTTATTATAAAAAAAACATAAAGACAAAAAAATTATATTTATGTATGTAACAAACTCAAAATATATAACATAAATTTCAAAAAAATGTTTTATTAATAGAATGCTAGATAAATGAGTAACAGCTATATTTTTTACTAGAAAATAATCCTAATGAAGTTATTGGCAAAAGCTGTTTGGTTAATATTTCAAAGATGCAGCTTAAAACCAGCAGAAAACATCATATAGCATGAGTTTAGTTCTTGTGTTATTGTGCATAACATAGTAAATTTCCTTATTGCATTACAACTTTTGTTACTTAACAAGATCATACAATAGATTAAGTGCTTAAGTTAATCTTAATAAGCTTTTCTTTAAGACAGTTTAATTGAATGTCTTGTAAGAACTTATTTACAAGTTTCTTACTATTATGCTATACACAGGTTATTGAAGAGTAGAATGCTTGTCTGTTACTCTCCCTCCCAAATTTAATGATGGCAACCCACAATCATGAACAGTTAAGTAATACATTATAAGGCTATCAGCAAAGCTTAAGTGCACACAATGACATGCCATATTTTAATAAAAAATTAAATAATATAATAAAAATAATAAGCAATTCATTTTTAAAATAAAAAAATAAAATAAAAACAAACTTACAACAACAAATAGTTCCTGCGGGCCCATATTGCTAACTATTTGCATAACCTGCAGGATAAAAACAAATTTTTAATGAAAATATTATAAAAAAATATAAAAAGATTTACAAAACTATAAAAATGATGCATTGCATGTACTAGTCTGTGGAGATTTGCGTATGTTTTAAAAATAAAAAAGAGAAGACAATACACCAGCCTAAGCCAGGCCAGCATAGCTGAGCCAGTTTAGGACATACACTTATTAGTAATATTATTTGATTGTTTGTTTTAAACTTCTGTTTAACATTATAATTTTAATTACAATAAACATTAGCATAAAATCTAAGAACAATAAAAGAAATAAACATTCAACAAGTACTACAAAGGGTTTTAGGCAATCTTTAAATACATTGATAGGCATAACAATGTAGCAATAAATAAAAAAACAGCGTTTATTTCACCAAAACGTTTTGTTTGTGATAATAATTTGAAAAATTATTAATACCTCTTTTACAACATAAAGAAAAGAAACATTCTTACCTGAAATATGGCGCGCACACGTTAGATCTGCAAATTACATATATTTATCTTAATATATTGATCAGATTCATTGATTTTTTAATCAGCCATGATTTCATGAATTTTCATTAAAATTAGGATAGGGAAAACATTTTTTCATCTCTACTTACCTATTATAAAAAAGTAAAAAGCGCACTAAATGCACATGGCTTCACTATATCGTATTTTTCAGTTATTTCGTATATTTGATGATAAAATTCAAAACAAAAAGATTGGAAAATTTTTGACAAATGAAACTGACATTTGATAGACATGGGAGACCCACGTACAGATAAAACACCAATCAATAATGTTAGTTCATGAAAAGTTGAAATTTAAAAAACAGCTTCACAAGTTATTTAATCAAAAATTAATTGGATTATTAGACATAGTTTTGAAAAACAATATCCCCTATGAAAAAAATTATGTCAGTTAACTATTATACTATCGCAAGAAATAACATTTTTTGAAAATAATTAGGTACCAGTGAGTATTTCCATATTCGCCGACTATATGTTAGAAGTGGAGTTTGTGCTCATTACTTTCTTAATCACTACGCGTTTGTGCGCACAAGACATACTAATTTGTAGTTTACGTTGCCTTTACTATTATACCATGATTTTTGCTGAACGGTTTGATGAAAAGTATCTCCGGAACGTCCCAATGGATTTCAATGAAATTTGAAACATGTAGAACACATACTAATTACTAGTATTTACGTAATTATCCGTGCACGTAGCCGCAGACAAAACCCAGTATGATTGTATAAAAAAAGGAAACAATGTATGCATCAGGATATTATCAAGGGTAAAGAAAACTACAAGATTTGTGTGAAACATTTTATTTGCAGTTGTAAAAACTGTACAAATGCTAACAAACTTACACATTAACATCTATTATGGACCTTCTCATGGCACTGTCGTACGCCGCACAATACTGCCACTGTACTCTTACACCTCGTATAGTCCGACCAAGAATACAATTCTGGGAGCGCTGCTTTTTTATATTTTTCTAACGTTGTAAGTGTGCGCTTAGTAAATATTGAGAATTTTTATAATCCTGGTCGGATTATACATCAGTCGACTCGGCAATTTTATATGGAAATTCATTTTGTAGTAAAAATGTTCTCTCAAAAGTCTAAAATACGGGTTCAAATACTTAGCATGATATAAAATGGCGATAGTTTGATTTAGAAATTTTATTTCTTTTTTTTTTACAAAAACAGTATAATTGAATATTGTGAACACCGAAAGCACCTTTGTTGGCAGTTGTTTGGTGCATTTGCCACATAATTCTCGTATTTTCTATTATTTGTGGCATTTTAACGATATACAGCTACAAGATAGCGGATTAGAAAAATATTGATCGAGTGTTCTTACTTCATTCTGTTAGTTGTTATGAACAATTTTATAATTAACAATATGCTACTTAGATTACACGATATTGTATTCGATTATGTTATGTATTAACAATTAGGTTAACAAAAATGGATTAAATCGATTTTATATACAATAGAATAAAACTAAACTGTATGTTTGAAATTTAGATATTACGATTTATTTAATAACTGCTAAAACTATACGAGAATCCTGTAAAATAAAAGATTTATAAAAAAAACGTATGAAATGAAATATTGGAATTTGTGCAGCATATTATATAACAATATTAATACGAATAATGAAATTGTGATATTTATATAGTGATATATAAAAAAACAGATTAATATTAAAGGTATAAAATGAGAGAAAAGTGTAATAGAAATGCTTATTCTTTGGCATGATTAGTTGGAAAGTGAAATTATATTTAAATGTTAGAAAACAGTATTTTATCTGAATAGTGTTTATTAAATAAATTAAAATAAAATTTGATCGGATTTATGAAGTGTTTTTGTGCCGTAAGGAAGATTTTTTTATAGTTTAAAAAAATGTTTTAACGTTTTGAATTTTTGAATATAAGTGTTATTCCAACGCTTGCCGATTCCGGCAAGTAGGGGAATAAATGATATTTTGTTGTAATTCGTATTACTATGCGTATAGTTTTAGCAGCTATCAATATTTAAGATAATATTTAAAAGTGAAGTCAGTCACACAGACATTTAATTGATTACACGATATCTTCACACATATGAAAATGTTACATATAAAATATATTCCAATAATTGTTCGTCAATATTTTAACATTAAAATTAAGGACACTTCCCATTTACATTATTTATTAAATATAAATTCTGAGCAATGTTTTTATATTATTGTTTTAATTCGATTAAACATTAAAAATCTCTCAGTAAAAGTTTGAATACGAATACAAAATACACACGTAATAAAAAATCCCAAGAAACAATTTAAGCATGCTCTCCTTAGCGAGAAAAAAAGTTAAGTTACAGACAATTCCAAAGATGTTTCTAAAAATATTCTTTATTTACAAAATCGTTAGAAACCTTTACGAAATAAAATGAGTCAAATAAAGTAAACGGGCGAGTCGTTAATACATTCGTTGTACAACACGTAATAAATAATGATATAGACCTCTAACAACGCTCAACAACTAAACACTAAAAGTTATAAACAAATAACGAAGTGTTAGGTGATTCCGAGCGTTATAGTAACGTAATAACGATATTTCTGTGTGAAATAGAAAACACGTAACACTTCGCGCGGGCGAGTGTGCGCGGTGCGGGGGGCGCGGGGCGCGGGGCGGGGGGCGCGGGGCGGGGGGCGCGGGGCGGGGGCGGGGGGGCTCATATCGGCCGCGTGAAGTTCGCGGGGAACATGCCCTTCTCATTGGTCGACTCCTTTATACCCATCAGCCAGCCCTCCTCCTGGAAACATTACATAACATGTGCAGAAACTTCGATACAATACCATTAACTTGTCACAAACAAATCACTTTAACATTAAATACTGATTTATCTAATTTGGCAATGTTTGACAACAATTGGCAATGTCCGGCATCTATAATCGGCAAGACATGTGTTTATAGCGGTAACGCGACAGCTAAAATGCTGAACGGATTTCGATGAAATTTGTTAGAAATGTAGAGGATAATCTGGAATAATACATAGGCTACTCACTTTTGTTCTTTTTAATATCACGCGGACGGAGCCGAGGGCGAAAGCTATTTTTAAATATTCAAACAGACAAAGGTCTGTGGTCAGTATTTGCACACGTCCATACCTGTTCATCGGGATCGTCGTACTCGACAACGCGGATGACGTCACCCACATCGAAGGACAGCTCGTCGCTGTCCTCGCGCGTGTAGCGGTAGGTGGCGCGCACGCGGTACAGCGCGCCCGCCGGCAAGCCAGCCAGCGTCGCGCCTGCGCACCACACACATCACTGTCTCACTCTGACACACGCCTACTGCCCTCTACTACCGTTGGATAACATTCGGCAATAGTTGACAATAGTTGGCAGTCAAGTTGGAAATAGTTGACAGTTGCCAACCAAATATTTTTTAATATGACCATTTTTTTGTCAATTCACTAATTTACCATTACAACTAAGCTCTAGGCTTATACTAAGAATAATTTATGTAATAGTCGAATGTCGGGATTCGAACCCTCGATCACGTAGTCTGACATCCACGTAAAAATATAAGGATAATCTGAGCACTTCATCTTTTGTTGACGACAAAAGAAAAAAAAAGGTCCAAAAGACACTAACAAGAAATTTCGGTTGATAATAATGTTACTGAATTATGGATACAAATCCTGTATTTAAAAAAACATTTTTTCAGAATATAACATCAAAATATAAACCTTTTTTGTCTATATGAAATGACTATTTTAAATTACAATAATAAAAAAAAAACATACAAAACACATGCAATCTACAGTAAATTAAAACAAGCACATAAGTTAGAACAAGCAAAGTATGAGAAGCACGTCAATAAGCGATAAAACTTATATATAGAATAAACTCGTCCTGAAAATAGATATATAAATACATACATACATTACAAATACATAAAAATATTCAATACATATGCCAAAGCAAATCGATATAACCTAACATATTCACTATAAAAATAAATAATATCTAATATTACGTCTTTACACTCGCATTGTTATTTATTACATAGATCAATTGTATATATTATTAACAACAAATATATATTTTTAAAATATAACTTGAACATAATTTATTTGTTGCAAAAAATTCAATATCAACTAAAGTGTTAATTACTTTACAATAAAGATTCTTATTAATTTATCTCTTTATTTACTTATTTTTATATTTAACACGTTTTAACAAATTTTAGTCCACAATTTTACTTCTTGACATCAACAAAGAAAAAAAAAGAAAAAGCTATTGAAATATTCCCAAATACCTTGTACACAATATATTATTATCTTAAATGTAACAATATATTTTTGAGTTGTAATATATTAGTAAGTAAATATTAATAAACAAATATGTCCGTGCGTGACGTCACTCACCGACTGGTATATCGTAAACCTCGTCGCTCTTGTTCTGATTGCTCTCATTCTCTACATCTTTCTTCTTCTGTTTCTCTTCTTTATCATTCTCTTTGACGCTGTCCTTCTCCACGCTGTCGTCGAGGTTATTATTGATGGTCTCAGCGGGCGGCGCGCCTGAGGAGTGTGCAATGGTTGCCTACATCTACACACTATCTTCTAGCAATTACCTCTACACTATGCTTAGTAGAGCATTGTTAATACATTCAAAAAACCATGCATCTATAGTTTTTAAATTTATATGAAACTTATGTAGTACAAATAATCATTTTTGGACAAACTTTTCGGGAGTTACATATGTAAAAAGTGATATATTTAGTTTGGGCGTTGTCAAGGACTGCCCTTAAAGATAAAATTTTTAATAACATATGAATTATTTAAAATACTAGTGTTCCTACAATCTCAAGGATATCTCGACAACAGATACTTCATAACATATGAGATATTGGAGTAATTCAAATTTATTTCTTTATTTCAAGAGACTTACATATACAATTTAAAAACGACTTGTCTAATATTCATTAAAATTTAGACTATATATTCGCATTTCTAAGCATTCTCTTTGTAAAAAAAAATCACTACTGGCAGCTCTTGATATCGACCTCCAATATAATTGTTTGGCGATGCCCATTGTAGGTAGACATTTGCTGTGAGCATCTACAAAGTAGGCAAGTTATAATTTGTAGGTCAATCTATGACGTCACAAGAGGCAGATAAGCGAGCTCTTACCGACACTACCGACATTACCGACAGCTGTGGGGCAGGACTCACCGAGCGGCGCCGCACTCTGCTGCGTCTCCGCGTTGTTGTTGCGCGTGTCGGGGGGCGTGGGGGGCGCGTCGGGCGTGTCGGGGGGCGTGTGCGGCGAGCCGGGGGGCGTCGCCGACTGCGAGGGCGCGGGCGAGGGCGGGGGCGTCCCCTGCGCCGCGGGGGGCGAGGCGGGCGAGGCGGGCGCGGGGGAGGCGGTGCCGTTGAGCGCGGGGGGCGCGGGGGAGGGCGCTACGCACACACAACACACGCATGCACACACATTGTTAATGTTTTAACACAGCGACAACATTTCATAAATATAATGCACTTTAAATTTTTAGTGAAACACCTCTTGTTATATGTAATAAGTCAAAATTCACAAAGATGCAATACTTATAATTAAGTTGGCAAATCGATTTAAGGAGATACAAAGTATTTGTAATTTAATTCGAAAAAAAGACTCATTTTAAGCATGATTTGGCAACTTTTTATAAAGTCATTTTTAATAATTTCAAGCTCGCTTAGTTTAATTTTTCTTAATTAATATATTTTTGAAAAACTTTAAACAACAAAAATTTCAACCCCAAACTGATCAACAACTCCAAAATAATGGCGCACATTTTGATAGTATAATTAGTAATTTTATATGAGATCAAAAGTAAAGCAAACAGTCCATTATTACTTAGTCGACGACGGAAACCATAAACACCCAATTATTAATATCTGACTCGAAGGACCAGAATGGGTATTTTCATTAAATTCATCTTTTAAATTTATTTTCCACTAGGATAGCAAAACAAATGTGTATTCGAGGCTTATTGACATTGTAAAACGAAGGCTAAAGGGCTCTTATACCCAGAGTATGGTTTCCATCGCGGACTGAGTGTGTGTGTATGGTGGTTGGTGTGTGTGTGTACTCACGCTGCACGTTGTTGTGCGCGGTGCCGTTGTGGGCGGGCAGGGCGGGCAGGGGCAGGGCGGGCAGCCCGTCTTCTTGGCGTAGGAGCCGCGCTGGCAGTCTGTAGCCAGCTTGTCAGTGATAGCTTCCAACTCCGCGTACACCTGCACATGTAAGGACATTCTTAACGATTCATCTACACAGTTATTAAAATTAGAGTCTTTATGTAATATCGGAGAAAATCGCGAAGATACATTTGCGATGCTTATAGTGAAAACAATATTTAAAATTTTAGTTTTTTTTATAACATAAGATGGCACTACCACTGTTAGCCGTTAGTGTCTATCTGTACACAAGTGTTTGTTCCGAGCAATCTTTGAATTCGCTGGGATTTTCAAGTGGTCAAGTGATAATCGAGCAAGTTCTAGGGAAGCTCCACCTTGGAGGTCTCCGTGTGGAAGAGCTGCTCGGCGGCGAAGAGCGTCTGCAGGTTGGTGAGGTAGAAGAGCACGCGCGAGTCGTGCAGCGCCGGCAGCTCGTCGTGCAGCTCCGAGTTCAGCAGCTCGTATGTGCGCTTGGCCTCCTCCAGCTGCTCGCGCCCCTTCGTCACCTGCGCACACCACCATGCTACCACATCGAAAACTCCACACGACACATATATAATCTATCTAAACTGATATAATAAAGCGTAAACACATACTACTGCGTGGCGTAGGACGGCAGCATAATTTTGAATAAAAATCCCTACATTTACGAGCTTTAGGCTATATATTTTTAAGCTATTAAACTTAGGGATATAATAAGAAAAAACCCTCATGTGGGAAAGGGACCATAAACTAAGCAAGAATATTATAGTAACGGTAATATTGTAAAATTGACAAATGTAAACAATAAAACACATTTTTTTTTAAATTCCACGCGGATTAAGCCACGCGAGAACAGCTAGTAATATTATAAATGCGAAAGTTTATATGGATAGCTGGATGTTTGTTGTTTGTAGTCTTAACGGCTGAACGAATTTCGATGAAATTTGGTATAGATGTACAGGATAGTCTGGAAGAACACATAGGCTATTCACGTTTGTTGGTTTACACGCTGACAGAGTCGCGGGCGAAAGCTAGTACAATCTAAATATCGCTCCTTTCAGACTGAAATTTAATCTATCTTGAAAAGATGAATGTTATAATACACGCATAATATAAAATTATACGGTTTTGTGACTCAAATAAAACTGACAGCGAGATTTCAGTGAGCACAAATCACAACAAACATTCCGGCCCACACGTCGCACCGAAATACCACGCGAATACAGACCACTGCACACATTGTGATGTTATCTAGTCTTCTTATTAACGTTTCCTAGTTTTAAATTATCTAGTGTACACTTTATAGACAAATAAGTGTTATTTAATTATGAATAGATATTATAGTGTAGTGTCCATACCTTAACGTCGTCTCGTCTTTTAGCGGCGTTGGCTTGAAGGTTTTGGAAGCTGTGTCGCTGCCCGTCATAGTCTACCAGCTTGCGGCCGCGCTTCTCGATTTTTTTCTGAAACCATTTAATTCCACATTGGTTTATCATCGCCAAATAATTAATTGTAATTTTATAATTAATTTAGAAGAGCGAGAATACATTGGATTCATATATTTCTCAAGTTGTTTAAATTAATTATTGTTTGTTATAGTAACTCACCCTGACTTCTGGAAACTGGTTGGTGTATGTATTGATCGGTATGAGGACCTGGTCGCCTAGCTTATGGGAGAAATCCTGCCACAGCATCTCCATGCTCTGCGCCTGCACGTACAGCAGGTCGTGCCCCGACCAGCTGCTCTCGTATACTTCCGTGATCGCCTCCATCAGACTCTTTGACGCCGTTTGCACCGCTAACACATACAGGGTGGTACTTAATGGACGGATCAACGGTTTTGTGGAGGGACCTCAATAGCTTAGTAGATCCGTCCGTTAAGAATCACCCTGTATATAAGTTACACTTACTTTGTTATTAAAATAGTGAAGAATAACTTGACAATATACAGGTGAATATGATAAATGCAACATCTTATATTGTTGATTTCTTACTAAATTCATTGAGGGTATCTCTTGCTGACCTCTAAACGACTCAAAGTCCTACAGTCAAGACTATAGCCTAGCAATTCAGGGGGCCATAGCTGTACTATTACTGACGACCTTAGTGAAACGTAAGACAAACAACACGTGTTGTTTATCTTAAATGAACATTCAAAACGCAAACTCCACCATAGTCAGTGGACACGACAGTGAAGGCCACATTCCTAGCATTTGCGCACAGATTTGTGAAATATTTTACAAGATAAATCATATAATAATAATACTATGCGGTTCTATCTCTATTCAGACATTTTTCAAGCAATCTTTGTTTAAGACTTGTTGAAATAATTGGACCGATGTTAGAATTTTGTTTACATTTTCATTGCGACCTGACTGCATGATTCATACTCTATGTCCGAGAAATGATCTTGTTATCAAGAGATATCATTTCAAAATATTTCAGTACATTAAGTACAAGTGATAAGAAAGATTTTCAGCTGAGTTATGACTTGTATGATGAATAATTACCTCGTATACACCGTATATAGTTGTTGAACTCCTTCTGTAGCCGTGTGGCTTGCTGGTGCTGCCGATTGAAGTTCTGCAGATGCTCTTCGAAGATGTCGTCCAGCGTGCGGTCCACTTTACCCAGGTTCTGGAGTAGCTGGAAAACGAAAACGATAGACCATTAATTTGTATATTCCGTATTATGTTACGTTGTAACGCAAGTATGTATATTGTCTGTTTGAGTACAATCAGTTAAGAGGCACTTGGGAAATGCTACGTGGACCGATTGATAAAATTTTTGCTACTACTAATAAATAGAATTGTATACTATTACATTGATTACGTAATATTTACTACGAACAATTTCATTTGATATAAATTCAAATGGACAGCGTAAAACATGTTTTTTTCTTTTCCTTAAACATACTTCCTTTAACCATATACTTCTGTATATTACAAGGTAATTGTGAAGGGGAAGGGAGAGGAGGTATGAAATTGACAATACGAGTGTGGTATTGAAGTACAACTGTATATAACAATCTCAAATTGCAACTAATGCGACACTCACGAGCCGTCGTCGCTGTTATGTAACTCATCGTGAGCAATACATAAAGACAGGAGTGTTACAAGTTGAAATAGTATATATCTAAGAAGAAATCCTCTTCATTGCCCAAAAAACTATGACAGTCAAAATTATTCACCGAATAAAGGACTCATTTAACAAACTATGTCTTAATTTACATAATGCAAAAGTGGTCGTAATTGATTGAATTAGCAAATTTGTACTCATTGTGCGCGAATCAATCATAACACTACGTCTTCGTTTATTTATGACGAAACATTTGCAATGTTAGGGTTGCTCATTTTTGTGAAAGATAGATTTAATGACGAAGAAGAAACATTTGAAGCCTTGTTATATTTTTAACCGAATACAGTAGTCATTTATGTAAAAAAATGCCTAAAATTAAGTACTATAATATAATTTACTTTAGACTGTGAGCTTTAAACGTGTTTTAAACCATAGCATTTTCTAACTTCATCTCTTGCATTTCCTTAAACTAAACGGTATAGTTTTTGTGAGTGTCAACCCTGTTCAAATGACAGAATTAACATACAAGCGAGGAGTTACGAAAGTTGATATACTGGCTGAAACATTAGATGCTTGTCGCGACTGGTGGGGGGAGGACCCTACCCCCTACACGTAAGTCTGTGCAAACCAAAGCTACCCAGTTGGTATTAACTCAAAGGGCTGACACATTAACAGACGCTTGTTTTATGTCAGAAAAAGTAGTTTAAATAAATAGAAAGATAAACATTTACAAATAAATTCATTTACAAAGAAAATATAAATTAACTTCACATAATAATATTGTCAAGTTTTACGCCAGAACGAAGGGAAGGGGTACGTTCTGAAACTCGAGAACTGATGAACAGATACCAACATTCTCCATCTCATGTGTGAGGTTATAAATTATAGAAACAGATAGCATACGATGTCGACACAAGGTCGCCTCGTGACCGATTGATACAAAACCTTCAATGCATCTCGAAGCCGGATTACTTACGACTGGTTTAGGAATGCTCTACAAATTATCACTAGGGCTTTTATAAATAACTATCTGTTGCTCGCGACTTCGTCCCCGTCAAATTGAAGAAAAATTCAAAATGTCTATGTAACTGATAACTTAGCTTTTAATGGTGAAAGATTTTTTTAAATCGGCCCAGTAGTTTTTGAGTTGTTTCAATAAGTACAAAAATACAAATCTTTCTTCTTTATAATTTGTTGAATTAGATTATTTCGATGTAATTTGGTGATGTACAAATCTATGTAATCTTCATAACATTAGGTCACGCACAACACTTCGACGTCAACAGCGTCCGCTGGTGACGTCACGTCCGCGCGCGCTTCCTTTCCATTTCGATTGTCTTTGACCGAGGCCTCCAATTACAACCATTGTCTCGGCTAATAAACTTACTACTCGCAATCGAATCTCGTGTACGACCTTATCTCGATGTAATTAAAGTTGACAATCGATAGCGGCAGCCGTGTCGTGGATTGGAGCGTGGCAATTGTTAACATGATTAGGTTATCGGCGTGACGATTGGCGATCGTATCGGTCAACTGGCTGCAGGGGTTAGATGCTAACGACTTTATTGAAGACCATAAACAATGAGCAATTTGAGATTGATTTGATTACTAACATTAAATGATCGAATTAGAAATAGTCGTACATACAGATGTCTTTAACATCAAGCAAAACTTTTTAGATAATTTGCAAGACAATGCAGCTTAACTTTTGTGGCGAAACTAACTACATTTATAAGAAACATTCAAGGAAGCATCCATAATTATCACATTTGTGAAACATGTAATCTTAAAATCACCAGCAACCGGAGTGCAGAGGAAACAATTATTCAGTTTAAAAATGCAGCGAGGTGATGTAAAGCTGAGAAACAATTACTCAGGCGATAGAAGATTGCTTTCCGTAGATCGACCTTGTGGAAATATCTCCTTGCGTTATAGCAGTGAATTCACAGCGTAACTCTTATTCTTATAATACTACTACCGTTAACCCGCGTAGTTTAAAAAAAAAGTGAGTGAGTAGCCTATCTCTACTTCTGTTTCATTGAAAACTGTTCAGCCGTTTAGGCTACAAACTCTAAAAAACATCCATCCATCTGTCCATTGCTCTAAATTATACTAATCTAATCATACTAATCATGCTAACATTATAAATGCGAAAGTTTATATGGATGGATGGATGTTTGTTAGAGTTTGTGATGAAATTTGGCATAGATGTAAATGATAGTCTGGAAGAACACATAGGCTACTCAAATATTTAATTTTTTAATTCCACGCAGACGGAGTCGCGAACTAAAGCTAGTTATTGTATAATTTACATCATTGATTATTAGTTATTACGATGGATCATACAAACAAAATACAATTTAGGTAACTAGTGACCTTACTTTGTTTCCGTTTGAAACAGGAAGTTGTAATGATTGAAAATTTGGATGAACATGCTATTAATTTCTAGTATAATCTGTGGTTTTACTCAATACTATAATTTACAACGTTAGATAACAAAACCACAATGATAGAAAGAGACGATTAGAGTATAAACATTAAAAAATGCTTCTGAATACAATCTATAAATGTAGTTAAAACTTGTGCCAAATCCTATGTCTAAAGACTAAAACATTAATGCTTTATTAATACACTGGCTATAATATTTTGATTAGTTCTCCAGTATTCCAGTGCATGTTGCATAGTACAGCGAGCCATGTGGGGCTCGCTATAAATAGAGCTGCGCTTACCCGTTACCCGACGATAACATTTTGTTATTGTAGAAAATGATACCTCGATGCAGTTAATGCACATATACTTAAAGCTTATTATTTCGAAGTTAATAAAACAGCTGGTACTCCATAGCAATAGGTACCGAATGAAAATCTTCAGCCGTTGATTCTACGGCAGCTTACAAAGACACTTACTGTACAGATTGAAGAAATACTTTAGAAACGAGATCAAGAGCATCTGAAACCGACGTGCACGTATGCGTAGATATAAGTAAAAGAAATCAGAGGTGCGTCAGGACCACGACAAACAGAGGTCTGTGGTCTATGCCTATCCCTCTGGATTATGGTCGTTAGTTATGTTCAGTTCACGACATGGGTAACTAACACTTACTTTCTCGAAATGACACCTCTCCCTTTAAACGACTTCTCAAACCATAAAGTCGCTCTTTCGCAACACTTTGTAATAGAATATCACTAAAATCATTTCGTTTCCTCAATAAACGGTATTACAAGAGACAATGCACGCGAAGCTATCACACCGTTACAACTTTCCCACGTGATTGTAACGCAGTTTATGATCGAACACAAAAGTTAAACGGTGTTACGTAAAGCCATGATAATTAATACGGAAGTGATAGAACTTCCAGCAAGACTAGACAATAGAGTACGTGCAGAATTTTGAACTCTAAGTACTTTATGTTTAAGAAAGATATTTCGACCTGGAGATCCAAAGGGTGCCCTCAGCATGACATAAAAATTGGCGTCAGATGATAATGATAAGTAGAAAAAAAACTATTAAAACACATCAGCAATTAATGATAGATCTACGTTAATTTCGCGGAACTAAAGTTGTGACAATAAACAATTATGGAAAAAAGTTAATAATTTCTGAAGCAACAAGTGTGAGGGTTGAAGATTCACACAACGTGACCAAGTGGGTCATCAGACGGCGGGACAGTTTGGACGACTTCCAATCGCATCGCAGGAAATAGAAGCGACCGATTTCAATCTTTGACGAACACTAGGTACAACTACAGTTAAATTCTGCAAACTACGTGACATTTTGTTTTCCTCTTAACACAGGAAAATAAACGATTGCGTTACATTACTGTCTCGTTCGTGATGTCTATCTCAAACTGTTTATATTATTATTCAGTGCACATACATTTATAAACCTTAATTTTTACATTTGTGACGGTATAATAAAAACATTTTCCCTTTCAAGGTACAGTATATCTTACCTTGGGAAAATACCGTTTTTCTATAGATTATTACCTTCAACTTTACCTTGTGTTTGTTCTGCATTTATAAAAAAAAAAATACAAACCTCTACTAATTCTTACAAAATCTTATACTTTTGTGAATCTGTCTTTTAACGTGTCAACAAAGTAGGTACATAATTAAATAATCAAAATGTAGTAAATATTGAAAAGACTTGAAGACATTAGTACATTAGGTACCTCTCTGACAGATGAAACTGCGAATGTCCAAAGGTCAAACTGTCGCAATGCTCCAAGGAATCAGGTAATTGTCATTTTCCAGCGGACAACAAACTACAATCATGCAATAAAGCGACACGACACGTGAGGTCTTTTACAAATTTTGTCGATGATATTACGACAAGGTTTTCAGGAATATTTGTGGTAAGCCGATAGAAGATATTTTTATAACTATGAACTATCGACTTACACGAAAACATTTTCAAACTATAATATCCATTGTAATTCAGGAATGAAATCTGCACGTCAACGTTATCGTCTTATCTAAAGAATTCTACAAATCCTTTCCTTTGTTAGCTTAAACAATACTTTAGTATATTTTACTTATTTGTGATGTTCTGCATAGATTACAATTGAT